TGTCTCACTCTCCCTTTTTTTTCTGAAAAACTATTGAACCTAATATCTTGGAAATTACTGTGGTTTTTCTTGTCTGTTGAAAGAATTTTCTGTGAAAAATTAAGCTTTATAGTTTGCTGGTTTCCCATGGATAAAGTAGAAAACGATTTAAGGGGAAACTTTAAATGATCTTAATGGAGATACGTGTTTTTCAAATCCAGCCATTGCTGAAATGTTATCCGCTCTTTATTTCTCTGCAAGCGTCGATTGGTGTTGTCTTTTTTTAAAGGATGCCTGATCGGAAAAACTGAATTCAAAAGAATGTACAGATGAAGATCATCTGCTAAGTTGATCTCTCTGTGACATTTTTAAATCAACAATGCTCTCAGTTTTCTCCTGTGCTCTTTTTCATTTTAGACTTCAAAAAATAATGCCTTGTATGCCAATTTTTTTTCTGTCTGTTTTAAAATGTCAAAGTGTAATATTAAGATTGAGTCTTGAGAAATAAAATTTAAAAAAATTATCACGATTATCAAGAGCTGATGAAGTTTCATGTTTATCACCAAGTTATTTCTTTCTGAATTGGTGGAGGTCTGCAGTGAGCTGATTATTGAAATTGATAGACAAAGCGATAGACTAAGAAGACATAGGGAGTATGGAGTGTTTCTATTGGTTGAAATGGTTGGTTCCAATCGGCTGAAGGAGAAAATGGTGAACTAACCATATGGTCTCTCGTGAGCTGCTGTTAGTTAGTCTATTACTTGCCTCCTTCATCCATTGCAACCACCCGCTTCCACTAATCGGATCCCTCCATATCTTTTTTGTCTTCTTTGTCTATCAATTTCAATACTCGGCCTGCAGGCTGCAGTAGTTTTTAATCGTGGTAAAAAAAACTCTTGCAAAGCTGATATGAAGTTTTGCAATTGTAATTTGTCATTAATGAGTTTTTAATTTCTCTCTTTATACGATGAAGAAAAGTAGCTGAACAAAAGCATTCGTGAAAAAATGTGTAGATAATCCGGAAAAAGGGAAAGAAAAAAACTTCTAAATTTTTTCTGGGACTTAGCACCACAGAAGTGTTGAGCTAATTGTGATTTGAAAATCCGGGTCAAATCAGTAATGATCATATTTGTAAATATAAATTTCATTTCCAATGATCATTGAATTAGATTTTTTTACCAGATAAAAATAAATGAAATTTTTTCATTTTTTTTCTGGCTCCACGCTGCTTGAGATGTGTCAAATACCAAGAATTCCAAATCAGAGGTTAAGATGGAATGTTTGTTAAAACAACCAGTGGCTAATAAGCGTAAAATCGGCCCACATTATCAGTGAAATTGTATTTTTTAAGCTGTATTTTTATATTTGTAGTGATTTACAAATTTTCAAAACTTATCAGCTACATTTGAATTATTTTATTTCTCTCTTGACCAAAGAATTTTTTTTAGTTATCAAGAGAAAGGAGACTAGTGGTGCAGTCGTCAAAGTCAAGCGTGAAAGAGTTAGATGGATGAACTTCAATGATATGATATTTGTGAGGTTTTCTTTTTTCGTGGTAATCAGCTGCCTTCTGTGTCAAATCATTTTTTAAAAAGGAAATAGGGTCAAATCATTGTAAAATTTGTAAAAATAAGCTTGTTTAACCCTCCCTGTATACTCTTGGAGCAAATAATTATGTACCAGAAATTCCCTTCTTGTAAGTTATAGCACCATGCAAGGATTTCCTTCACTTTTAGTATGTATGAGGGATACATCAGCTGTGAAACGAGGAAGCCACGTGTCTTAGCTGCACCAAAAATTACTGCACCCATTTTATCTTTTCAAGAAGACTGAATGTATCAGTATAAATTCTGTCACAGAATAGTTTTCATGCAGAGAAGGAATCTCTCAGAAGTTTTCAAGAGTTGATGTTGAATAGTTCGATAAAATATCGCATGAAGTCTACAATGTCATAAAGTGAGATACGTGGCTCTCTCCTTTCAAAGATGACATCCACTCAAAACAATTGCCTTTGAAATGCTAAAATTATTACTTAGGATGTTTCAACGGATCATGCCGTGAATGATTCCTTTAAACAAACCACTTGCTTTGTTTATTATTCTTTTTTGGGAGTATTTTCAAAGGAAAACTACCTATTTTTTCTGTGCTTGATTTTTTAATGTTTTGTCATGAAGGTGCCATTATAAATAATTTTTGCAGTTATAAAATTTGAAGGCAAGAGATCTTCTTTTTCTGCCCGCATGAGGATAAATTCCAGTAATCCAAAGAAAGTCGCCCATGAGTTCAAAATTTTTTTGTAAAATAAGATGGATGATAATCTGACCTTGGCATGCCCTGTGAAGGAATTGAAACTGTCTCGGAAATAGGAGGGAGGGTTTTAAAGAAAATTCTATGAAGAAGGAGCGCAAATGGTGCTTTTCTGAAGTTTCTAAAAACTTTTCAGCCCTTCTTTTGTGTAAAGTTTTATCACTCTCTTGGATCACTCCTTGATTTTTCAAATAACCATAACTTTCATCTTTTTTCCGAGTGCTTAATTCCGTAAACCTCAAACAAATATAACTTCAATGTTAAGGCTCTACTTAATCTCCTGGACTCGCCGTAGTAAGCGAAATTTTGGTCAACTTAGATTTTTCCTTTTGTCTCGCAGTTCTTTTCTTTCTTTTCTCTTTCCCCTCGCTAATTATAGAATTTTTCTTATTATTTGCGCAGTAACTTTAAATGGCTCAAGATCAAATTCAAGTAATTTTTCAGCTGTGACTAATTTTAGTGACATGTAGACATTAAGCTCTGTGTGCCCGTATGTTGGAGCAATTTCGTTGCGCCGATCAATCATTGTTTGCAAGGTGCCGAGTTTGTTACCACTTTGGTTGTTCTCAGTTGCGATTTTTGCAAGTCAGCAACACTGTTTTGTCTCCATGATAGTCCCTTGTAAAGTTTCATCCATTGCGAAAAGAATTGATACTCATTGATCGATGCTGCCTCTATTACGATCGATTATTTACGATGGATTTAAATGAAGGAGAGCAGTGTTGTCAACCTCAAAGGACGCATTTCTGTCAAACGGAACTATGTGCATTATAACGTGAGCCCTGTTATGCTCATATTCTTATGGGTCTCAGGGCTCATGTCTTAATGCACATAGTTCTGTCTGATAGAAATACCTCCAAACAATCGCCTCTGTTTGTCCTTGATACTGCTCTTATCACAAACGGCTTTACATACTGCCGTGCTAAGGAAAAATGCCATATGAACATTCAAGAGTTGCCGAATTTCCTTCGATAAAATGCTTAGCTTTAAGGAAAGTTATGAATATTTTTCTTTGAAACTTACAGAAGCTTCAGGTGGAATTGCAAACAAAATAATCTGAAAAATTGGTAGAAAAATATTCATAAGTTCACCAGGAAATTCGATTTTTATTAAGGGAAATTTGGCAACGCCTGAAGGTTCATACGGCGTTCTTCATTAGCATGGCAGCATAGGTCTCTGACACATCTAGGTATTTTTCCTCATGTTTCGGAAGCTTCAATCATATAAAACTGTTTATTTTGCTCTTTTTTTCTGGCTGATGACATTTTCCCCTTAGCTGCCTCCCCCCCCCCCCCNCTAATAAAACTGGAACTCAGAGAAAGCCAGACCAAAAGTATCAAGGAATTCAACTTGTTTTTAATAGGTATTTTTAATACTTGTGTAAATATTACAATAACTTAATGTACTAAAGTAAGTTGTCAAAATTTTGATTAAAATTAAAAATTGTTCATTTTTTAACACGCTTTGTTCATTTCAATGTTCCTCAAAAGTGCTTGCAAAAAGAATGATGTTTTGCTCGTTTAATATTGCTATACTAAGGAAAAACGCTGTCTGAACATTCGAAAGTCGTCAAATTTCCTCTGATATGTTTATTTTTAAGAAGAGTTACGAATATATGCTCCTGAAAATTTCAAATGTGTAATTTAGATCTGATCCCGAATAAAATTTTCAAAAAAATGTAAAAAGAAAATATTCACAGATTTCCCTGAAAATTCATATATTACTGAAGGAACTCTGGCAACGCCTGAAGGCTCATACATCGTTCTTCCTTAAGACGGCTAAATATTGGACCATGGTTCATTCTTGAAGTTCAAATATTCTAATTTACATTCACTTCAATGGAAAAAATAAACTGCAATTTTTAGTATGAAGTTTTTAAAATTTCGGTTCAGGTATCTAACCGTCTCAAGATTTTTGTCAAAATTTTATTTTCAAGATACTCTTTTTTGTTTTTGTTTTTTTCAAGATGCTTATCAGTAGCTTAGAGCAGGAGGGTTGTAATTACATTTTTCGGTTTTGAAATATCACAAGAAATCTATCCAGCAACTGTCATCTGTACTGTAATCTGCTATTTTTGAAGTTTTGCAACTTGCATCGAAGATCGGATATCAATACTGAATTTTTCAGACTTATACAGCCCTTCTTAAACTTATTAGGAGTAGAAAAACTTGGTTTCTCCAAGAAGGGCACTTAGGACCTTTTTGTCTTAAGCTACCAATGTGCTGGTAAATATCTGAGATTATGTCTCTAAAAATGTTTCTTTGTACTCAGTGGTGAGGCTCCCTTAACGATATATCAATTTACATGTAATTTAAATCCATGAGAAAGGATTGATTATGAGAGTCTTTGTAATGAACAATCCTTACTTTCATGTGTTTGACCACATTTTTGACCATGAAGAACGCATAATGGGAGTGAATTTAAAAACAAGAAAAACATGTTTCTGGACTCATGCTGTTGCTACTCTTCTGTCGCATTTTATTGTACCTAATGCAAGAAAACTGACGTTGTCTTATCAATGAAGTTTCATTTAATTCTCTTTTAAAGCCTAAATGTATTTCCGAAAAATTTCAAAAAAAAATTATCCCATTTTCTTTTTACAAAAAGGATAACAATCAGTAGCAGAAGTTTCGCAACACCAAAATTAAAGCCAAGGTTTGTTTTGCTTCACTGGCAATATCTATGACAAGGCAATTAGGACAAAATACAAAATGATTAAAAATTAAAAGTTTATTCAAAAATATTGATTGGCTAGGCTGTTTTTTCTGTACATTCTGCAAATTAGTTAACTATAAATGAGCTAAAATAACAATGTTGATACTTAGGACATCAGTTCTTTTCAACAATAGAAAATGAAGTAGGTAAATTACTGTCAAGCCTGGTTTTCTTTAAAGAAGAATAATTTTTTACTTACCTGCGCACTCCTTCAAATTTTACTTATTTCAATAATTATTCAAATGAATCATTCAATTGAAATGATTTCGAAAAAATAATCATTTTTGACCGGCCTGGCCATGAAAGAAGATGGACCTTAGTCCTAGGCAGCAAATTTTGTAGGAGAAATTTTCGTTAAATCGCGTTAAAAACTTTCTTTTCTGGGTTTGCGATGGCAATTCTCTCCGCAGTATTTTACAGGAAGCAAGGAGAAACTGATCTACTTTATTTCTGTGCCAAAGGTGGATCAAAACCGTCATTATCATTCTAAGATTTTGAGCCTTGAACATGGCATAGTAAAACCTATGAAAGGTTTTTTCCTACGTATTTTTTTAACTGCAAATTTCAAACTGCCGTTATTCCCGTTAGATTTGATATATCTGTAAAAAATTTTGTGCCTAAATGTTTGAAAAACACTCCTTAATGCAGTAGTATCAATACTTCTATTCTGTGCATTCGGTACCAAGGTACTTTTCTCTGACGACTGTCACTTTTATGCATCGCCGTATTAGCTCATACAGCTAAAAAAAAAAGAGCATTGAAATAAAATGTAAATCTGGTAATTTTTTGAGTTTCAAGGCTTTACTCATCTTTAGAGAGCCCATAAATAGGTAATCAATCAGAGTTGAAGAATTTTATGCGAAAAATTTGTGATTAAAGGAGTTAAAATTTCTGCAAAAGGGATTGAATATTTTACACATTTTTCTGGTAGAAGTACTACCCAATTTTTTTTAGGTCCATTTTACCACCTACTTTTTTCATGAAATTTTTTACAACAGTTTGTTTGTAATTTTTATGTTGTGTGCTACTAGGGAAAAATGCATGCGCTTAATCATTTCTTGGGAGGTGAGTTTTTCCGCCATTCAGGGCTGTGAGCATTTGAGTGAAGAAATTTCTTAAAAACTAGTGTCAATAACTAACGACTTTGAGTGGTAATTGCTAAAAAGAAGAGTCTTCTAACTCGTGTACTCGCAAGTGCATATGTTTCCATTACAACTGCCGCTGCTGAATCTCTGTTTGAACGCCTCTTCACATTGATTGTCACACTCACGCCAGCAAACAAAGATGCTCGACATTTGGATTTCTTTGTACCTGTTCGCAGCAACGAGAGCCATGCAGAGTGCCAGAGCCATGATGATTATTAATCGGTGCATCGTGAAAAAAATCAGTCTTCCAGGTCGATTCTCTAAGTACAAGACAGCTCCTGTGTCATTTGGAAAACAAAATCATTAGATCAAGGAAAGATCTTCTGTACCTCTATATTTTCAATGTTTAAGTCTTCTCATATATCATTAAGGTGACAAATTCTCGGTAAAGTTAGAGAAAGCGCGGAAAAGCTTCGGCTAATGCTATCGGACCTTGAATTTTCTAATCATGTTGAAACTCTTCCATAATTTACCTAATTCAGGGGCGGACTAGGACGGAAATATTGGAGTGCTTTTGGCTCCTTTTTGTAAAGTACAATCCAACTGACTTCGGATTGCATTTTGCAAAACGGAACCAGAAGCATTGCAATGATGCTAAGATGGTGCAAATTCATCCTTGGCAGTAAAATTACTAAAAATCATGAAAAAATATGAAATTTACACAGTAATTAATGTCTTAGATTCACAGTTTTTAGCGAGAAAAATAGTAACTGTTAGTGGGTAATCAGGTTTTTCTTCCAAGACAAAAGAAGTTGCACAATCTTAGCGACATTGGAATGCTCTTAGTTCCTTTTTGCAAAACGCAATCCTTTTTACCCAAGAGTTACTTTGCGTTCCTTTTTAAGTTTTTATTTACCAATTTTAAAATTTTTTTTATTTCTATACTGAAAAGATACCTAGTGTTTTATCTTAAACTAAGTAATTTTTAATTAACATTACTGTTTTAAAATTTTTAACTTATCCTAATAACTGGATTGCATTTTGCAAAATGGAGCCGAGAGCATTCCAATGTTGCTAAGATTGTGCAACTTTTTGTACCTTGCAAATATAAACTGATCATCTATAAAAGTTTCATATTTACTTCCAACAAATTATAAATTCAGTACGAAAATTACCATAGTAAATTTAATTTTTTGCCAGGTTTCAGTAATTTTATTGTGAGGGATATAAGTTGTATGCAATCCTGGCAGCATTGGAATGCTCATGGTCCCTTTTTGCCAAATGCAATCCAACTTCAGTATTATGATTTTTTTAGTTTAAACTATTACTTAAAACAAATAAACACATGCAGTTATTGAAATAGTTATAGCTAACGTTGCGGTTTTCAAGTTAGTTTGGGTTATTGCAAACAGGGCTTTTTCATAATAGGTATTTGTTATTTCTTTTAAAACTATCTGTATCTATGTTCTTTCAAAATTGTAAACTTTTTATCTCCGAAAATGTAAATGTAAGGCTTGGACAAAAAGACTGGGACTGAAAGCGAGAGAGAAGAGAGGATTTCTACCTGGGCAAGCGCGCGAGCAGGACAGGTTCCAAGTTATCACTGACCGCGGCGCGCGGGCGCGTGATCCCCCGATGGGATAATCAGCATTCTTCGACCGATCCCCCCGGCCACGCTTGTCGGATTTCACCCTAAAACAAAAAGATTCACGATCCTTCCAACGACGAAAATCGGCAATCCAATGGACAATTAGCCGCGTCCAGCCCTGGGAAGACCGAAAGGGGCTTCGTGCAATGTTGCCGAAGCAACCCTTTCTGCCACTATGCCGTACAACGCCAAAACGCCGTAAACGCCATTTTATATTTTTAGGATCATAGCAAAAAAAAACTTGTGTACATTGGGACAATGTTATTAAAAAATTATTTCGCAAATACTGTCAAGAACTGAACCTGAAAATTTGAGGTGCATGGGTAAAACAATTTTTATTTATGAGTTGCTAAGCTCCAAAAAACGAGGAAAAATCTTGACGGATTTACGGCGTTCTTGCTTAGCACGGTAGCACTGTTGTTAATTTTTTTTTTTTCGATTTTCAAAAGAAATCTAAATTGAAACCGAAAAATCGGGGTCGGAGCGCGAATAAGGCAGTGAGGGGGGGGGGGTCTGAGTAAAACGTGACGTATTTTTCAGAGGGTCCAGTTTTTTCCTAAATGACGACAGTTTTGGTGTAATATCGATGGGGAAAATGCCGAATTTTTATGAGGAAAGGGACAGGATTTAGCAATTCTTCAGCAAGGGTGCTAACCCATGCGCGCTGAGAGGTCTAAAATCACGGATTTCAGCTCAGATTTATGGAGGGCCCCAAGATAATTTTGTAGAAAATATTTTCGGACGAAGACATCCATAATTGCTAGAAATAAATAATCGTAAGAAAGTACACTTGGAGGTTTACAAAAATTATAAAAATAAAAATCGAGGTATATAGGAGTCTTCAATTTCTCATTCTACCTGGAGAAAAATTACGCGTCATGGTCTTCTCAATTCTTCCCCTGTTAGATTGCGATGATCGTCCGTCCTTAATTTAAAATTTCGAGAGCTCGAGATGATACCGAAAAAAAAAACTGCTATTGAAAATGCTACTGAAATTCGATGTATTCTCAAAATGGACCTGACCTCAAAAGAGGCTGCATAGTGCTCTGCTGTGCTAAGGGAAAACGCCGCATGGACATTCGAGAGTTGCCAAACTTCCTTCGATAAAAAGTTTATTATCAAGGAAATTTATAAATATTTTTCCTTGAAATTTTCAAGAACTTTAGTTGAAATTGCGAGCGAAAATATGTAAAAATTATCTAAAAAATATCCATTAGTTTGGCGGGAAATTCGTGTTTTATCAGAGGAAATTTGGCAACACATGAAGGTTCATACGACGTGTTTCCTCAGCATGGCAGTGCTAGTCCACCGCAGAAGGTTTAGTTATACTGTGGGCGCGATGCGAAATTTTTCACCCCAGAACAAAGGGGAATATGCGATGATACGACGTAAAACTTGACAACAGCGTTTACTACGCGGTGCCCACTTTGGACAGGTAGGTAGGTATATTGTTAGGCGCCTTGCAGGTCTCAGACACGTTGCCAACATGTCACGATTAATCATCGCAGTGAAGTGATTCCTACCCAGCGGGCCGATTATTGAAATTGATAGACAAAGCTATAGACAAAGACGACAAAAGGGATTTGGAGGGATCCTATTGGTGGAAGCAGGTGGTGGCAATGGACATAGGAGGTAGGTAATGGACTAACTAACGGCAACCCACTAAAGACCCGACAGTTAGTCCATCATTTTCTTCCTTAGTCTATAAGAACCAACCATGTCAACCAATAAGATCGCTCCATACTCCCTATGTCTTCTTTGTCTATAGCTTTGTCCATCAATTTCAATAATCGCCCCGCAGAGTTGGAATATTTTCCGGGAAAAAAGAGAGATCCATATCACGGGTTGATCCCTTTTTCTTCGGATGCTCTTGTTTTGCCGCGCGCTGGTCAGGAATACTGCCGTCCTAAGGAAGACCGCTGTTGAACATTCGAGAGATGCCAAATTCCCTTCAATGAATCGTTTATTTTTGAGGAAAGTTATGAATATTTTTTTGAAATTTTCAGGAGCTTCAGGTGAAATCGCAAACAAAATAATCTGAAAAATTGGGAGGAAAATAATCATAAGTTTACCAGAAAATTCGAGTTTTATCAAAGGCAATTTGGCAACGCATGAAAGTTCATACGGTTTTTTTCCTCAGCACGGCAGAAAAGTCGAATGGGTCACCAAACCATGAGCGAATTTTGACTTGCGAGTATATATTTCTAAAGGTGAATGACACGTAGAACACGGTGCGCACATTGAAAACGCGAAAAAATAACTCAATAACCGAGAAATATATACGCAATTCAGATCGCTCAACTTATCTGCAAATTTAAAACGCCCCGGTTTAGCGCCCGCACCGAATGATGTTATCCGGCACTAATCAGAAGCGAGCACAGGTTTCTACAGCTTCTATCAAATGTCTATCTACTCCTCGTATGTGAGAACAACACTAAATTCGAAATTATATCTTTAGAATTAAAGAATCGAATCTCATTTATGTTACTTGTAGTGAACAAGCAACAATTTCAAGTTGAAATATGTTTTATTTTAACAAACATCAGTAGAAAATGAGAGAAGCTTTCGATTTGACTACCGCAGCACATCACCACAGTTAGTTTCCCGCCATTCGGGTGCGTTTGAAATGTCTTGCAGTTGCGGAAAAATCACCACACTATCTACTCACCTTGTACTTTCAGAATATTTAATAAATTAACAAGGTCAAATGAAGTCTCAAACTAGACGCACCCTTTAGAGTGTTCCGCCCCGAGGCTATGGTCTAGCCCAATGGAAAATTTGGCTCTGTTAGGTGAATCCAGCAGAATTAAAAGGAAAAAAATCCAAGTGGAAGTTCAAAATTTGGGGGATCCGAAATTTGGGAGTCCGGGTGAAACGAAACAAGTCGGAGAAAAGTCACGGAATCGGAAAATGAAGAACTCATGTAAACTCCTAATTTGTATGTGCCTATGAACATTTTGTACTTTTATCCAGAAACTATCGAGCTCTTATTTAATGGAAAATTTCATACTGGGAAAATTCTATACAATTTTGGAGGGAATGTATATTGGTAGCACACTTTGCAATAAGTGACAGTCACATGGTAAAAATATTGCAGTTCCACTGAGTGTTGTGTATGTTGCCTAGCTCCTATTTGAAGGGGCCCCATTTATTGAAACTTATTGCAATAATATTGAAATAAGTTGCAATTTTTCATTGCATTGCATATTGCCTATCTTTCTGGAACACGGAGCTCATTTTGTTGATTGTTAAAAATCGGCGTAAATCGCCTGAATGATGTAAAAATATTGCAATTTAATGGTAAAAAAGTTACTACTTTGATAAAATGGAATTGCAATTCAATTTCAATATTTTCGTTGCGATGTGCTACTTTGCACCGTCAAACTGAGTTGCGCTGTCATTTATTTTGGAATAGTAGAGTGTGGAGGTGGATTTTGCAACCTTTGAATGGAGATCGGTTCGACCTCTTTCATCCAAAAAATGAAGAAGTAAGTGACCACGCGGGGCATGGCTTTACAAACTGCAGTTTCTATTTAATGAAATTTGTCTGCATTAGACAATCAGATGGAAACAAGTTATAATTATAAAACCCCGTTTCATAATGGAGATGTGTTGCATATGTGAGAAATTTGAGATTTGACTGTTGATTCTTTTGTAAAAGTTCGCGAGAAACACGATGGTGCCACTGGTTTTCTCTGAAATCAATTCCCAAGCTCAAAAAAAGCTCTCAAGTTGAGGCCAAAATGGAGGGGATATCCCACGCTATCCTGATAGTTCACGTCTACATCAAGACAAACTCTCCATGCAAAGATAGGGAGCAAATACATCTTGATATACTTAGACGTGGACTATCAGGATAGCGTGGGATATCCCCTCCATTTTGGCCTCAATTTGAGACCTTTTTTGAGCTTGGGAGTTGATTTCAGAGAAAACCAGTGGCACCATCGTGTTTCTCGCGAACTTTTACATAAGAATCAATAGTCAAATCGCAAATTCCTCACACATGCAACATCTCCATTGTCTGGGATTCCCAGTTTTACAATATGACGAGTGCCTCATGAGACCGACTGACCTTGGGATTTGCGAACGCCAAGTCGTAAACCCTCACCTATGCGTCGGGAAACTCTGAATTGGACGTATTTCTACCGAACAGACCTGTGTGCAGGTGAAAAATATGGGGTGTGCTCTAGAAATCTGCATAAGAAGCAATGTAAAAGTGGACGTGATTCCTTTTGAAGAATTGGAAAAATTTCCTTCAATAAATTACAAATTTATGGGAATATTTACAAACACTTTTCTTTCAATTTTTTGTTAGAGAATTTCGTTCGTAATTTGATCCGAACCCTGGTAAAAATTGGCGATAGGAGCTGCGTTTCAAAATACCATAGGAGTTCTTAAAGCCGACTAAAGAAGGCTATTGAAAATCATATAGCTGGCTGTAGAAAGCGGAGCAAATCATATAGCCGGGCTATACGAAGCTATAAAAAAGTATACGGTCGGGCTATAGTTCCTATCGCCGAGCTTTACACTTTATCGCCATTGGCTATAAAAGGCTATAAGAAATTGTGTAGAAATTCGTGTGCTTTGGAATTCATTAAGTTTGATACGGAACTACCTTAATATTTACAAAACACACATTATATTTTACTTTAAAACCTATTTTTTTTTTCATCAATTAAAATGAGAATAATCCACACAAAGTGTGCAAACATTTCAAAATCATGAGTTGAAAAACGCTGACTCCGCGAGATTAAATATTGGAGCCTAACACAAAGCGGAGCGGCGACGCACTGGCGCCTACAAACCTAACAGGGATACTTCACGCATTGCGCAATGCGTGAAGTATCCCTGTTAGGTTTGTAGGCGCCAATGCGCGTTTCGCGCTCTCTGCCCGCCCGCCGCGCCGTAGCGTGCCACGGCGTCTGAAGCAACTATTTCACACCAGAGATATTGCATGGTATCATAAGAAATTGAAGGCGCTCCAACATATTAAGAATGACAGGCGTCCTTCAAAAGTACGGAGCTTTCCTCGCAAAATAAATCAAGA